TATTATTATTATTATTATTATTATTATTTATTATTATTATTATCAGAATGACTAAGATGGCGAAATATTTATTAAATGATAAGAAATAGTATTATTATTCAAAATTTATTGCAAGTTTATAATTATTACTTCTTTGCTTTTTTCCGCTTTGCATTTGTGTTTTATCGCGTAATTTACTTTTAGTTTTTCGTTTTTCTTTTTTTTTTTAAGTTTAATAAAATTTATTCATTCATCCATTTCAGCTAATTAATATCATCTGATACTGTTTATTGATCAACTGTTTGCAGTAATTTCAGAACAAAATAAAAATGGTTTTTGTATGCATCATAATGATAAACTAATCAAGAGTTTGATCGAAATTTATATATATATATATCGGAATATATCAGAAATGTCAAAGCGGAGTTAAAAACAAAAAAAAAGTTGCAAGAAAAAAATGTTATGGTTTATGATGGAATTTCAATGGCATGATTTAAACACACCACTTTCAATCTGCATATGGCTTCTATCAATTATTTTAATTAAAATATGTTCGTATTTTTCATTTTCTTTTAATAATAACAAATGTTAATTCAATAACTTTTTGTTTTTAAAATAATTTAATTATTTAAAATTTTTCATTTCAATTGTCTTTTTTTTCCGTTTTTTCTTTTTTTTTTTATTACAGTATCTCATTCGAGTAAACGATTTACCATTGTACCGGATTCGGCACTTTTAATTCTTGTTGGTTTTGCTGCTGGTAGTGTAATGGATCGTTTTTGGCCACATGAAATTTATTTACATCCAGGTAAAAATTTTAACCTGAAAAAAATTTCCCATCCAAATATGCATTTTAACCTGAATTTAAGAATAACATTTATTTATAAAATTGGATCCAACAATTTACTAAATATGAATCTGTTAATTGATAATAATTTGGATTAAAAAAAAATAAAAAATTTAAATTTCAGATTTTTTTTCCTCTATCTATTACCACCAATTGCATTGGATGCCGGTTATGCATTACCTAATCAGGCTTTTTTTGAAAATTTTGGTACCATTATATTATATGCTGTGGTAGGAACAATTTGGAATATTGTTTCTATCGGTATTTTTTTTTCAATTTATTAAAATTTTACAAATTTTTTTTTCGATCAAATTTTTAAACAATTACAATATTTGTTTAATACATTCAATTATTATAAATTATTCATTCATAAATTTCAATAATCGTATTTTATAGTAAGCATTTTCTCAAAAATAGAATATTGAAATTATTTAATTTGAGTTATTAATTATAACGGTTAAATTTCACAATATTTATTTAATATATTCAATTATTATAAATTATTCATTCA